CATTAAGTAAAGTATTTCAGTACACTAAAGAAAGAGACAGGTGCAGAGATGGTTCTGTAGGCACAAAGCTTGGTACGTAAGCATGAGGACCTGAGTTCAGATACCCAACACTCACGTAAAAGCTGGTGGCGAACACACATATAAACACGCGTGCACACGCACAGACACACACACACACACACACACACACACACACACACACGCGCACACACTCATATATACACACACACACATATACAGAGCGAGTCCAGTGCACCAGCACACATATACCACACACAAAGTCAAAACGTCCACACCAAGTTCCTGCTTCCTTGCTAATAAAGACTGTGGCCACAGAACATAATGCTTTCTGGAAAGTGTCACTCTTTTGGTTCTTGTCTATAGTAATATAAGAAACATGAAGGACCCTAAGCTCATGTAGAAGCCCCATGTGACATCAAATCTGTAACCCTAGGTGGTCCCAAGAGTGGAAACAGGAAGATACTGGGGGCTTACTGGCCAGCCAGCCTAGTCAAACTGTGAGCTCCAGATTCAGTGAGAAATCCTGTCTGAAAAATAAAAATAAAGTGAGAAGTGATTGAGGAACACACTGTGACATAAACCACACACACACACACACACACACACACACACACACACACACACACACACACGGTACAGTTTACTGTGCCATAGTAAAAATTTTAAGAGTTGAAAAGGGCCATCAATAATCTAGTGCATCCTCTCCCTTACAATGCAGCCCCCACCACCACCACATTACTGAAGTTCAGATTCACTTCGGCTACCCTAAGCATCCAGAGTTCACTGCTTCTCAAGCAAACTCCATCCCATTGGGCCTATGTCTTCTTCCATCCAGAATTAATTCTGGATTCAAAGTAGACAAATGGACTTCCTAAGTTCCCTCAGCTCTTCCAAGATCTTTGATTTTATGGAAAAACAAACAAACAAACAACAGCAAAAAACCAAAGACAAAACAACAAAAAAACAGTCCTGGTCCCCCCTATGCTACCACACCAGGGCATTCCTTTCTATGAGCAAAACACTCAAATTAAAAAGTTCTCTCAAGCTTTAAAGTGTGTCTACTAATTAAATCAGTTTGTCTATTTGTGCTTTATAGGCTAACAAGGTCTAATTAACCGTGTTCATACATAACTGAAACAGTAAGAAGACGGGCTGCTTTAATTGATACAGAAAAGCAGTAAATTGAGCTTTTTTCCTTTCCCTTTTCCAATACCACGAAACAGACTCTTAAGAAACCCTCAACTCTGTTTACTCACTGAGCCACCCTCAACTTAGTCCAATAGTTTGCTAAAGCTTGATGCAGTGGTTCGCAACTTTCCCAATGCTAAGACCCTTTAATACAGTTCCTCACATGGTGATCCCCCAATCCTAACGTTATTTTGGTTGCTACTTCATAGCTATAATTTTGCTACTGTTATGAATCCTAATGTAAATATTTTTGGAGATAGGGTTTGACAAACGCTCAAGACCCACAGCTTGAGAACCACTGGCTTAAAGCTTCTAGTTCAGGATTTGCCTTCCTCCCTGTCACTTGACCTTTTGGAATAATCCTAAAACTTCTAAAATTCTTTAAGCTACTCTTAAAATCATGAATTAAGCCAGCACAAGCCCCAGTCTGAGCCCTTAAAATGGCTGGTTTTTTAATAGCTTCCTATTTGGAATTCTGGCTTTCCAGAAAGGGGAGGCAGAAGTGGGAGAATGTGGGGAGGGGCACTAAATACATAAACTAATGTATCTCTGTCAATTCTATGTTCTCCCCAGGAAATATTTATGTTCATGTCCATCTCCTTTATTCTACATGGAATCTGCAGCATTTAGCAGGGAAGCAATCTACCATTGGATTTAATTCAGTAGTACTCTTTTTTTATTTTTTCCCCTTCAGCAAAACTACACTCCTACTCTAGATATTCTGGCTGTGTTGTCCCTTGACTGAGAGGGCTAGTGTTGTCAGCTGACACAGTTAAAGTCATGTAGGTGATGGATGGGCCTCTTGGCATGTGGGTGAGGGATTACCTAGAGTGTATTTAACTGAGATAGGAAGACCCACCAACTGCAGGAGGAGCTATGCATCCCCCTAAGCAGGGGATGTAGAAAGTAGAGAGAGCAAGCTGAGCACTTGGATGCACAGATTCATTGCTCTCTTCTTCCTCTCCACCGTAACAGACCACAACCAGGATCTGTCAGCCAAACCCTTTCTCCTTTAAGTTACTTGTGTTATTTATCACCAACAAGAAAAGAAAGTAAGATGAAGACAATAGTGATTAATCCCAAAGGGGATTAATCCCTTAAGGGGAAAAAGTATCATTTAACAGAGACAATTGCATGCAAAATACAAAAGATTATGCTACTAACAGTATAAAACACAGCTCTGAGGCTGGACAGATGGCTCAGGCCTTAGGAGCATAGGCTGCTCTTCCATAAGACCTGGGTTTGATTCCTAGCACTCACATGGTGGCTCACAACCATCTGTAACTACAGTCTCAATAGATCTGTCACCCTCTTCGGGCCTCAGCAGGCAGTTCATGAACATGGTACACAGACATATATGCAGGGGGAAAAAAAAACCACTCATACATATAAAATAAAAGTTAATAAATTTTAATACTAAGCCAAAACAAACAAATAGGCCTATAGCCCCAGCTATTCTGGAGGCTGAGAACAGAGGACAACCTGACTGTATTTTAGATAAATAAAATCCCAGCCATCGATGAGTATATGTCTCAATAATACAAGCACATGCTCAGCACCTACAATCCCCAAGTTTGATTCCCGGAGCCACAACAAACAAACAAAACACCTTAAATACCTAACACATTAAAACCTGTTTCTATTCCATTCATCATGGCCTAGACCCTAGATTCATTGACTTTCACTGGATTTTTTAACAAGAAACACAACCAGTGGTATCACATAGTTACGTAGCTTGTATAACCTACTCTCAAATTAAGTTTCATTAATAAAATAAATAAAGTCTATATTCTACATTCTTGGAAAATTCCCCAGTCCTATTGTAATGCAGCTCATGCTAATATTCTAAATGTCCCACAATAAAAGCCTGAAAAGCAAAGAATCTGGAGGAATAAAAGTCACCAGACATATTTGTTGAATGCAAGGTAATTAGCCAATTCAAAGTATACAGGGTAAGACCACCCATACACGGTTCTCTGAATTTTCTTTCTGGATTACTGGTTTTACTGAGTGAGAAGGAATCATTCTCTGAAATGTCTTAAAACAGTTCTAAACACCATGAAGAAAGTGGAGCAGCTGGGGAAGTGGCTCAGCGGTTAGGAGCACTGTCTGCTCTTCTACAGGACCCCAGGTTCAATTCCCAGCACACACATGTGGCTTGAAATGTCTGTAACACTAGTCCCAGGGAATCCAACACTCCTGGCCTCTACAGGCACCAGGCACACACATGGTACACAGATACAGTTACAGATAAAACACCTATATACATAAAATAAATTTTTAAAATGTAAGAAAAAGCAAAGTGAGATAGTAACTGTAAGATTTGCTTAAAGAGTACAGAGTCCCAAGGCAGGGCAGAGTACAAGCCCAGAACAGTGCAGGGTCATGGGTTTGATCCTTAGTACCACAAGGGCGCAGAGCACCCAAACGAAACAAACCCTGTCCCATTCAGTGACACTGAGCTACTCAAGGAACCCTGGCAAAAGAACAGAAACCTACCCTCAAGCAAAGGTAAGAGCAGCCACTTCTCTTGGTGAGGTCAGAGACACGTCATGCTCACGAGTACTGAATTCAGCAGCATTTATTCCTACAAGCAACAATCTGATGTGAAAGTTTAAAACATACACAATGTCACCAAACCCTCCCTGCAGCTCTGAAAAATAAGGGCAGCACTCTATAGGCCCGGTCCTAACAGTGCTGGGATAAAGACAGTCTCAAGGGGTAATGATAGGCTCTTGTGTTTAGTAAACTGACCACAGCTTTGTTTGTTTCATAGTGCTCTAAAAATACATGCACACAGCAAAAAAATCCAAGTATAAAAAAGTACAAAGGAAACCTAACCCTTCTTCCTACTTTACACATCTAGTCCAGGTTCTTTGTTTAGTTCTGTGTACGTGTGTGACCTGTGTGGAGGTACTTATTTAACCAAACTTGTGTTGTAGCATTGCTTATTTTTAGTTGTCATTATTTTCTATTTCAAACAATATTATGATATATCATTATATGCAGATATTTGTGTGCAAACACAATTCTATGTGCAAGATGAATTATTACAAGTACCGCCTGTTAACAGAATTAAGCAAATGCAAGCAAGAAGCCAGCACATCTACAAAGGAGACAAGAAAATACCTACAAATTAAATGCTTAGTGATTAGAAGATGTCAAACATTATCACAGAGTTAGCAGCAGAGTAACGAATTAAGAAAATGGAGCTAGGAATAAAGGAAGGAAAGGATGAGGGAGAAAAGAAGAGAGAGGAGAGAAGAAAAGGAAACTTTACTTATCTCTTGTGGGACAGAAAGAAAAAAGATTAAGAGAATTTAAAAAAAACTGGAAAAGGGAGAAGAAGGAAAAGAAATCACACAAATAAGGCTAAAAGGGGGCAGGATGAGAGAAAAAAGACATGGTTTCTCTTGTAAACCTAAGGCACAAAATAGTTACTCAACAGATTTGAGACCTGCACTATTTCATAGACAAGCTTGGATGCCACATGATTTAGATCAGTATTTGTGCCCTTATTTTAACATAGTAACAGCAGGCTAATTCTACCAGGCTATGAAGCAAGAGGAAGATTCCATAGTAGACCTGGTTCTCTTCTCTTTCATTCCTAACCTCCTCGACAGGGAAACAGTCACACGGCATCATACAAACAAAGCATGCCTCTCCTTGAAAGATCCTGATTTTAAAAACTGAGACTTAGGCCTAAGTTTTCCTGCCTTCTTAAAATTTCTTTGCCTCAATCAGGGCTATTCTAATTCAGCATCTAATATAAAACACAGGCAACAACTCACCTCTCTTGAAGTGTTAGGATTTGAATGCCACAACACAAATTGACTCATGTTTTGTCCGTTAATGAGTCAGGGGTTTCTTTAAATGAAGTCCATTTCAGAGTCCATAGGTAGCAGGGTTCTGCAAAACTGAAAACCTCAAAAATGTCAATGCACAGACCTAGGTTACCACTTGGATCCAATTCATTATGGATAGTAGCGATGCCATATGAACACTTAGATACGAAGTTTAGTGGACATGACTCTGAACATGGCTGAAGTGCCCAAGACTGTAAGAAAGCAATAATATAGACCAAGAAGATCTCAAAATGTAAATGTCTTTTTGTCATAGTATTCTATCATGTGTATTCTATCCTGGTGCATATAAAGTGGGGTGAATGGGGTACCGTTACTGTCTAGGAATTGGGAAAATAAGACCTAAACGTGGACAAACATAAACGAATTCTTATAAAAAAAAAAAAAAAACCACAGGATTCAACATAAATTCCTGGTCTTCTACCCGATTCTACACAATCTAATGGCACATTTCTGGGCCCTCTCAAGATCTGCCTTTCACTGGATAGCCATGCATAGCCACCTCACTGGGACTGCACGAAGGTGATGGCTCTTGAGAGATCTGATTACACAGCACTGTGTGTCATCTGCACTGTTTTCCATTTGACAGTCCAAACAAAGGTGGTTACAGTTCTTGCTTTTGTAGGGTGCATGTTCACTCTTCATTACATTAATGGTGCTTTTAACAACAACATTAACCTTCAAAAGTTGTTTTTTGGGGGGGAAAGCGGGAGCAGCTCCTACGATCGCTCCTTGTGTCTACACACAGCAGGTGAGGATAGATATTTATAAATTACTGGCTTTATATTCGTTGTAATTCTCATTTGTCTTTCAAGTGTCTGTTACTAACCTAAGACGTCTTTAAGGAAGAGAAAGCTTACGCCGCTGAAAAGGAAGCATTTATAACATCAACTTCCAGCACTTATTTATTATTCGATAACCTCCCTGGTTACTCTTCCCAGGAAAGTAAAGTTAACCACAGGACAGCGCCTTACCCTCTCCACCAGGAAATTATAGGACCCTTTTGTAAATTGCACTAACTTTAAAAATCAAACAAACAAATGCGTCCTGATTTTCTTCTGCATCCGCATCATAGGGCAGGGAGGGGGCAAGCGAGGAAACTGGAGTCGCGTGCATTCAGAGGCTGGATGCTGACGCCCGGGATGCACTGGCGGCCGCGCCAGTCCCTTCCCTACCGGCCGGCGTCTACCGCCCGCCAGGCAGCGACCTACACAAGACCGGGTCGTTGTCCCCCGTTCCATCACGGGCTGAGTAGTGGGCAGCAAGCTCACCTCGGCTGTCCCAGACGCCACGTCGCCAGCACCCGCCGGCGCCGCCAGGTTCCTAGAAGACTTACTTCTACAAGGTTCCCGGCCCGAAGCCAAATGTGCACGCCCGCCAGCCTTCCTCTCACAGCCGTCCTCCGACAGCGCCGGACACCCGCCGCCGCGCGCAGGCGCCGCCTCCGCTCCACCACTTCCGCGTGTGACGTCACTTCCGACCCCGTCTGCTCCGCCGCTGGTCTCCCGCTCCCGACGTTCGTTGTTAACTTGCGGATCCTGGGCTGCGTGACACAGGCCCTCTTTTCTGTAGACGCTCTTCCATGCTGAAGCTCACCGCTCCAGTCCACATTTAGTGGGGCGTCTGGACGAAGTCACAAGACTTTCGGATGTCCCTGCTGGGGAGTCGGCCTCTGAGTCTGCGTTCGCTGCCTGCGATGCTGCCGGGTTCACTTCTGAGGGTGCTGGTGTTACTTGGGCAAGTTACTTTACCTCTGTGAGCCCGACCGAACTGTGAAAAACACTAGTACCCACAACCTGGGGCTGTTGTTACTTGAGATAACGCATAGAAAGTTCCAGCATACTGCAATGAACATTAACTGTTACTCTTCCTCCTGATAGACTCTCTTGTTTCCGCACTGGAACACGTGTGAATGAAAGCCTGGAGAACTACTTTTTGTTCAGTGTTTACCTAATGATACTGGCTACCTTCCCCTTTGAAACTGGATATAACGCAAATATAGGAACCAACGTGGAGCCTAATTGAAAATATCTGCTGAATTGCCGTGTCAAGTGGCAGGGGGAAACTCAGACTGTGCCCTGAAAGAGTGGGCATACCCAACAATAACCTTATGCGTGTGTAAGGTGGAAAGCCCCTCTGCACGTAGACATTTCTCTCTGGAAATGGCGCAAATGGTGGGCTGTCGAAGTCCCTTGGTGGAAAATAATCTGGAGAACCTTCACAGATGTTTGCTGGAGGAGGTGGTGGGAATAGGGGATCCCTTCTCATCACTTGGCTTCTTGGATCACCTGAAAACACAGGGTCTCTGGTGCCTCTAAACGGGGGAACCGGTGGAGGTATGAAGCCATGGCCAGCTGCCTCGCATTCAGCAGGAAGAGAGTTGAGCACAGTTGAGTTACAAGGGTCACTTTTGGTATCATTCTTAGTCGATTCCATGTTTTGAGGATACTGGCTCATTGGGTGGAGGGGCCATCGTCCTCCCGTCTTGTTCCCATGGAAGTGGCAGGGACCTGTCAGAAGTTGCTCTGGGAGCTTGAGAACTCCTTCAGTGTTCATCTGACGGTCCAGAGGATTCTCAGGGCCTCGTGAGCCTCTTCCTCCTCCCCCTGGAAGCCAAGGTGAGAGTCTGAGTGGACCCTCCAACAAAGTTGGAGGAGAGAGAAAAGCTCTCATTGCAGATGAAGGTCGGCCCAGTGGGAAGGGACCATATGGGGAGTGCTCTCTGCCAAATGCAGTATTTGGAACATCAGGTGCATAAGGATCCTTTTCTAAAAGTTCAAATTTAAATTCTGCTTCAGTTAATTTTGTCTATTGTGAGCATTTTCTTTCCTTAAATCAGTGAGCTTTCTTTCAAAAGTTCGAGCTGCCAGCCAATTATCATGTGCCTGTTTTCATGAACAGTAACCTGCCCTTGATAAGAGCGAATTGTGCTCTCCAGCTCTTCTTTGACATCCTTGGCACACCATCTGTAGGTCTCCAGCAACTTGGTCAAATGACTGATCCTCTCATCCACTTTGGAAAGTTTTTCCTCTTACTCCAATTGACAATTTTCCTCTACTGTTAATTTCCTGTGAAGCTTCATTTCGTTGTCTTGGTACAGCTCCATTATCACTGTGAGTTTCTGCTGAAGCTTCTGTTTCTCATTTTCAAGTTGTGTGTTAGCTGACTGCAGAGATGCTTGCTCAGCCTCCAGACTTCTGATACGATCTGTAAGATCGTTTGGTTTATCTACTTCAGATAACTGAGTGTAAATTTGGTTTCTTTCTCCTTCTAAGACTTTTAAAGAAGCACTTAACTTAATAGCAAATATTAGCCTCTTCAAAGCTCCCTTCAGCTGGTTACCTAAGTGCATATCATTTTCTAAGTCACTCTTGACTTCTAAATCCAGATTACCATCATTTGTTACATCTTCTCCAAACACTGAAGTCCAATCTTTTATCTTTAGCAGGCTCTGATCAGATCAGATACTTGATCTGATTTTCTTTATCATTTAGGACTCACTCTGCCTGTACTTTTTATTCTTCAAATGTTACTTTCTGTTTATTGAGTTGATCCACTTGTTCTTTCATTACTTCAGCTTCCTGTGAAAGCTATTTCTGGCTTTCCTGAAGTTGAGAGTTTTTATTCAAGTTATCTTTTATTACTCCCTTAAGTCGTTCTTCATTTATTTCAAATATTCTGAGTTTGGCTTCAGCTATTTGTGACTTGACAATCTTTGATTCATCTTCTAGAGAATGTGTCCTTTTTGAAATATCAGTCATCAATGCCAGTCATTCCCCTTCTCCTCCAAACCACACAATCTGACACACTTCTTCCCTTACCATCCTCTCAGGTAGATCCTCAGCTATGGGACACCCAAAGCCCCTCTCACCAAATATCATACCTACCATATCATTTGACTACAAACCTCACCAAATATATAACCAAGGTCGCCCTGCCTGCCACCAGCCTCAGAAGAATGAGGCCTTACACATCTTCCAAGACCCAAGGCCAACTCTATTCGGTCATGCCTTTTCCTCTACTCCCTTTGCTCACCCCCATCAGTAGTGAACTCTATATATGGAGATTTGATGTTCAGAAAACCTATACCCAGCAGTCCAACCAGACCACTCACATGGTGGTGTCTAGAGACTGCAAAAAGGAGAAACTTCTTCCTATAACACCTGAATCTACTTCTGAAACACCTGCCCCCATGCTTGTTTTCTCTATGATCAGACTAGAGATTACTGTCGACGCTGGCCAGAAACTTATTGAGGTTGCCCTTATTAGTCCTGTAAGAGACACAACGAATATTCAGGAATGCACTCTACCTTTTGTGCAGAATGGGGAATTTTTGTACTCTGATTAAAGATCCATGGCACCCCAGATGGGAAACGAGTCATTGGTAAACTTTACTATAGCAATTATTATAGCTGCCCATCAGGCATGCTCAAAATACAGAGCATACACATCTCATTCTCTCAAACCCTATGTATAGACATGGCAGAAGTGATCCAAAGCTCCTCAGAGGTTCTTACTTCCCTAATATCACCCCTTTTTGATGATATTGATTCCACTTCCCTGTCATACCATCTCTTGATGCAAACCTTAATCTCTGCATATCAGCTATCGAATAATGCCTTGCCTAACTGCTTTAAAAAATGCTGGTTGTGCATCCCTCCTGAGTCAAACTCACAACCACCATTTATGGCCTCACCCACTGTCTTATTAGACTCTCCTACCTTGCAACTAGTAAACTGCTCTGAGTCAAGCATCACTACTACCCCCTATCTCTCCCATATCTCTCTCTTCGGTATTGCAAACTGCTCTAACTCCTCTGGAACACACCTTATGGGCACTCTGGATTCTGCAGCTTGCAATAATACCACAGCACTTAGTACTGCCACACAGACCATATGTCCAAACATTCACAGTGCTTTTCAATTCTCTGTGGCACACAAGAATACCACTGCCTACCTGCTAGGTGGTCAGGGACTTAATGCCCTGGTGTTCCTTTTCTCTAAATTAGGGGTGGTACCTGGTGAAGATCCCTCGCCAATACCCATCACTAAATTTATAGCAGCACAGCATGACAAACAAGTAATCCAGGTCATTCCCTTCTGGCAGCCCTGGGTATAACTGCAGGTATAGCCACTGGAGCAGCAGGACTGACTGCTTCCTTGAATATGCACTATAGGCTTTCCTATAAATTCATCCAGGATTTCCAACAGATAGCTCAGACTATCTTCACCCTTCAGTCTATCTAGAATGTTGCTTCTATGTTGACCAATCAGGCACAGTAAAAAATAAGATTCATCAACCTCAGGGAGACCTTCAAAAACATAAGGGACAGCTTGATGCCTCTGGCCAGTGGATCACTGATAATCCAACTCAGAACTGGATGCTACCTTTCTGAACCCCTCTTCTCTCTCTTTCCTTAATCCTACTAGTGGCACCCTGCCTTATAAGCTTATTGTCTAGATTCCTTCAACAACAAGTTCAAAGGATTTCTAACCAGACTTTCAACCAGTTGCTGTTTCAGGATTACCAGTCCCTAGCTACGGAGCCAGAGAGCTGCAACACCCGGACACATCTGGGAGAAGAAAATGAAGATTGTCCCATGAACCTCGCCACCCCAATCCAGCAGGAAGTAGTCTAAATGATAACGCCGTCCCCTTTCCAACCCCAAGTTGTTTTGTTAATAAACCAAAAAGGGAATGTAAGGAAAAGGGGCCAGTTAAAGAAGCACACCCTAAGCAGAGCCAAAGAAACACACTTTGGCCTTGCAACAAGAATCAAAGAAATGCACCCTGAGGCTGAAACCAGTGCCAAAGAAACACACTTTGTCCCTGGAATCAGAGCCAGTGAAAGAAATACACCCTGGCCCTAAAATTAGAGCCAAAAGGCTAAACAGGATCAGTGAAAGAAACACACTTTGGCCCTGAAACCAGAGCCAAATCTGACCCTAAACCTGTGCAGAAAACCAACCAATCCCTGAGCAGATCAAGCCAGTCTCAGCTCAGCTCAGGGATTGAAATCTGACCAATCCCCACCCTGGAAATCTCCCTGGAAAAACCCCACCCCCTAAGAATCCCTTTATAAACCCTGTGTCTATTCAGCTTGTGACTGTTAGGGCTGCCCAGCTGTTCTCTGCCACCCTGACAGAGGGCAGCCACTCTCCTGGATTCTTCCCTCCCAATAAATCTCTTGAATGAGGTTTGGGTGAGACCTTCTTTTGCTGGAGCAGAGACAACCCTGGGTGGAGCAGAGTGGAGCAGGGCTGTAACAATTTTTCACCACTGGGGAAGCCTTCCCCTGGTGAAGCAAAGTTGTTACACTCCACTCTCCCATCGCTGGGAAACCCTCTCCTGCTGGAGCAGAGCTGATAACACTGGGAAGCCTTTCCCGGAAGCAGAGCTGTAAGGTGCCAAGCTTACTGTGACCTGTGGTATTCCTTGGCTCCCGAGTGCCAGAATACC